CCGGTGATAGTACTAGCACGCGCCAGTTCGCACCTGTGTCGAGCCTGTCTGCTGTGAGAGAGAGTTGTTTTGTCTAAATTCTTTTCCTTCGCGCCATGCCGCCGTCGGTCACCCTCCCGGCAGCGGAGAGGCACGACGAGCTGATTGACACGGCGCTATACAAGCTCGTCGGCGGGGCGCGGGTCGGCGCCGCCGGCACACGCTGGGAGCGCGCGCGCAAGCAGGCGCGCCTGCCCGTCAAGATGGGCGGCATGGGCCTCACCAGCGCCGTCGACATTCGCGAGCCGGCGTGGATTGGCACGTGGGCGCTCGTCGCTGGGCCCATGCGCCAGCTGCATGCTCCTTTCCGCGACCTTGACGTGAGCAAGGCGCCGGGCTCCGATTTCGACGAGCTGCGGGCGGCGCATGACAGGCTCAAGAAGGAGCACGGCGAGATCACGGCGACGTGGAAGGAGTGGGACGACAAGACGGAGGCGGAGTACTTTGACCTGGTCGGTGGCACGACGGGCAGGCCCCCGGAAGTCGAGGTGGAGCCGTGGGACGAGCCCGACGAGGGCGAGAAGCTGCGCGCCTCCGCGCGGCCGCCGGAGCCGGCTACGAGGGTGGCGCTCTCGCGCTTCCGTCCGCATACTCTCGTCCAGGCCAAGGAGCTGCTGCCCCTCGCCGAGTTCACGTCCAAGCACGAGTTCCTACACCAGGCGCAGCGGCGCTTCACGACGGTGGTCCACAACAGGAACTGGCGCGACCTCGCCCTCGAGCTAAGGCAGGAGGGCTCCAAGGGATCGCGGTCCGCTCCTCGCGGCAAGAAGGGCAAGGCGCAGGCCAAGGGCAGGGAGCGGGCGAGGCATGCGGCTTGGCGGGAGGCAGTCCGCTTCGTGGCGGTGAGCCAGGATGGCGCCGGCGCCTTCCTCAACGCCATCCCAATGCGGGATGACATGCGAATGGAGACTTGGGCGATGCGTCTTTCGGTGCAGCGCCGCCTGGGTCTCCCCCTCGACGTGGCCTGCCAGGCCGCGGCGGCGGGCAAGAAGACTCGGAATGGGAAGACCCACGACGAGTATGGCGACGCTGCTGTCAACGTACCGCAGCAGGGCCACAACACCAGACACAAGTACACGCTTCGACGCCTCATCCTCGCCCTACGCGCCGCGTGGGGCACCGCTGTGCGAATGGAGCCGAAAGCCCACCTCGGTCAGAGTTACAACAAACAACCCGACGTGGACGCGGACAACATTGGCTCGCACGGCACGCACTATTGCGGAGACGTCAAGGTCGTCTGTTCCCTCAGCAGCAGCGGGGAGCACGGTCGGAAGGGCGCTTTTGTCGCTTTCGGCAACACTGAATCATTCTACCGGAACATGGTCATGGGGCATGGGCCCTACTGCGAGGAGGGAGAGGGAGGTGGGGGGCAGGGAGAGGGGGGGGGAGAGGAGGAGGGGGGGGGGGGAGGGGGAGGGGTACCGGGGGGGCGGCATGGAGGGGGAGAGGAAGAGCAAGGGCGAGAGAGGGCAAGGGACTGGGCGCTGGCATACCAGGGGGGGCAGGGTGGTGGGCGGCGACCGCCGCATACCGTCCTACGGCGGGGACTATCGCTACGCCAGGGAAGACAAGGGCGTCGAAGTGCAGCTGCTGCTGTTCGAATCGTTCGGCGGGTTCGGAAAGGGGGTCCGTGAGATCCTCCGGAGAGCGGCGGACGTGCTACAGAACAAGCTGACGCGGGCCCAGTACCTCGATGAGGTGACTTGGACCACCAAGAGCTGGCTGGGGCTGCAGAAGCAGCGCATCTCAGTCGTTCTTCACACGGCCATCGCAGAGCAGGTCGTGAATGAGCTTGCCTGTGGCGGGGGTGGGCGGGTGCACGGAGCTAAGTGCCTCGCCACCCTCGCAGGAGTCGCTTAGGCGGCTCCCGTGGTGTACCTGTGTTCGTGCCAGTGCGCGCCAGTCCCGTGCCCAGTGTTGTGCGAGGGAGTTTTGTTGTAAGATTCTTTTCCACCTGTGTCTTGCAAAGTCGATGGGCTGCTTCTGCTTCTCGAGCCGCGTCGAGGCCCCTGCCGAGGAGCTGCCCGTCGAACTCGACGCCCCGACGCCCTACGAGAGGAAGCTGAAGCTGTGGCGCAAGCACGGCGGCGGCGACCTCGAGCCGGTCCTCGCGAGCGGCGCCGTCGCCGTCCTCGACGCGCAGTGGGTCATCAGCCACGCCGAGGCGGGCGGCGTCCTCACTCACCGCCAGGCGCTGCCCAAGGAGGCCTTCCTCTCCCTCGCCGACCTCGTCGAGGCGACCAACGAGTATGCGGATTGGCTTCCCGTCGCCGCGCTCTCCTACCCGTGGCTGACCAAGGACCACCCCGACCCGCGCGGAGCCAACCTCGCCCGCGTCGCAAGGGCGCTCAAGGCTCTGCTCAGCGAGCCCGTCTACATCCCGCGGCTCGGCGTCTTTTGGGACTTCGGCTCGCTGCACCAGCACCCCGACCCCGCCAACGGCGTCGAGCGCACCGAGGAGCAGAACGCGCTCTTCAAGCAGGGGCTGGGCTGCCTCGGCACGCTCTACTCCCACCCGAAGACATACGTGCTGCGGCTGACCTCCTTCCCGGACGGCCACAAGGCGGAGGACCAGCCCGAGGGCACCAACGTGGCCAAGTACTTTGACCGCGGCTGGTGCTTCACGGAGCAGTGCTGGGCGGGCCTGACAAAGGCTGGCTACCTCTCGCTCGACCTCGGCCTGATGCGCGGCGGCGTGGAGTACGACTGCGGCAGCCTCCGAGACGACTGCACCCAGGACGGCGGCCGGCGCCCTCCGCTGCTGCCGTCTGCTTTCGCGATTGAGCTGGAGAAGAAGAGCTTCACCAACGGCAAGGAGGACTATCCGCTTGTGAAGGGGTTGTACAAGGACGCCTTCGAGGAGCGGTTTGGCAAGGCGACCAAGCTGATCTACGGCATGCTCGGCTGGGGCGACGCGGAGGCGGCGCAGCTGGCGGAGGTCCTCGCGAGCGGGGCGGCGCCGCGGCTCGAGACGCTCATAATCACCAACAACGAGATTCGCGACGAGGGCTGCAAGGCGCTGGCCGCCGCCCTCAAGGAGGGGGCCGCCCCGAGCTTGAAGGCGCGAGACGCCCCCCCTCGCCACACGCCCCTTCCCCGCCCAATGCTCATCGCGCCTCCCCTCGCGTGCAGTTGCTCTTCGTGGACAACAAGAAGCAGCCTGAGCTGGTGGCCGTGTGCAAGGAGCGCGGCATCGAGCTGCGCTGAGCCTCTCCAGCCCCGGCCGGGCGGCAAGGGCGCGGGTTCCTGCGGGACCGCCGCGCGAGCACGGCAGAGAGCAACAGACCCTGCGGCTGCGGAGCACGACGCACAGCGGCGGTGGGGGTGGGGCGCGGGGAGGGGGGGGGGGGTCTGCGTCTCTCGGCGCGCTTCGGCCGCGTGGGACAAGAGCGTCGTGGAGCGGGCAAGTGGGGGAAGTGGGGTCAGGGTCTGGTTGGGTGAAAGACACACGGGAGACAGTCGGGGGGATAGATGATGCAGACCGGACATCGATGGCCATTCGGATTGGCACACAAGGTAAGGTATTAAGGTAAACTTCTCCACACACACGTCACGAGGTGGTGGGGCAAGGGGGAAGGGGGGGCAAAAAACCCTCGCGTCTCCACGTCTATCTCTAACGACAGGAGCCCCACGGCATTCAAAGTGCTACCCTAAGTGCCCGCCGATCCATGGCGCGCACGTAGCTATGACAGGGACCGCGGCCGCGGAACCGGTGGCGGACGGGGCTGGTGCGCAAGCGCCGGCCTGCGGCCACCGTCGTGCTGCCGGGGTGGCAGCGGGGATGCGCGGCGGACGCTGGAATAGCTCAAATCGCGCGCAACTGGAGGACGCGGTGATGGTCGCAAGGCTCGCAGGTGCGTCGCAGGTCAGGCTGGTATTGCCTGGCTACGCGACCATCGAGATCGACCTGAAGCACGAGAAGGCCGCGGGCGACCGCGAGTCGGTGCAGGCGGCGACGGGTACTTGTAGTATTAGGAGCAACACGACGCCGATCGTTGAAATTAGCAACCACTCACACACACACACGCCTCTAACCAACTGGCTCAGTTGAAGAGGCCGCTCCCACAGCTCTCACACCTATCTCTCTGGTACACAATATTGGAAGCGTTGTGAATAGTAGACCATTGGCCTCCTAAAAATCTCTCTCTCAACTCTCTCTCCGTAAGACCTCGGAGAAGGCAAGCCGTGAAGTTGTCAACCGTCTCGGCGTCGACAACAACTCTCGAACCAGTCGTGCTGCGGGACGGCCCCTCTGATTGCTCTGACAGGCACGCCTTGCACCTCGCCATGGATCCGCGGCAGAAGCCAATCCCGCAACGCTTTCAGGAAAGAGAGGAGGAAGACGCATACCAAAACTGCTCCAATCGGTAGCTCCGTGCGTTGCCTTTCACTGTGTACGTACGTACTTTTAGCTTACTGGGAGAAAAGAGAGAGGGGGTGGTGGTCTCTAGGCCCCTAAGGGCCCTACGCGCGGCGTGAGAGCTCGGAAGCGAGCTTTGCACGGCGATCGAGGATGGCACGGTTCACCCCCTTCACCGAAGCGATGGAGATGCGTTCCGCGTGGTGTGACTCTCTCTCTCTCTGTGTAGGAGTTGTTGCAGCTTCTCGATCTTTGAAGTCTTGTCCTGCAGCAACATTTTCTGCTTCCAAATGTAGTCTAATAGTTCATCGCACCGTCTGAATTCGGACGCCTGTGCTACCCTTCACACACGCTACACACGGTGTACTAGCACGGCGCATCCTGCGCCGTGCCCCATGAATGTCGATACTCCAGCATCACACCCTCTGTGCCACAATCGTGTCACGTGGACGTCCCTTAGTCGGCGCGTCTTGTCTGTCGCGATGTCCTAGACGTCGTGCCTTTCTGGTCCTTTACCATCCTTCAGCCAGCCACCCTCCGGCTCTGAGCCTCCGCGCTCAAACGTGGTACAACCGGTGAGGTGCAAACCGCCCACCAGGCCATGGCGGACAAGCCCGCCACGCCCCAGCGCGATGACATGGCCGCCGTCGCACTCGACACCGTCTTACTCGACGAAGAGCCTACAGCAGATCAGGTCCTTACTGCAGTCCTCGTGCTCATGGACTTCGTGGCATACGCCGGCGCCGCCGCTATGCTCTGGATCAACCGTGAATTTCTGATGCTGCACGGCACCAACGCTGTCACCCTCCCAATCGCCACCGCCATCTTTGTCGTCACCATCAATTTTGTCCGCGGCCTGCTCATCGCCGCCCGCTTTCTCACAGCCTACGCATGCAAAGGGTACACTGTCTCTTGCGCTCTCGCGGCGGCTTGGTGGCTCGCGTCAAGACTTGGGTCGCCTTCGGATCTGAGTCGCACCAACGCTCCGTCAAAAGCTCCGTCTGTGATGTCCACATGGCACCCCGGGGAGAAGCTTCCCACGAGGGGGGCGAGCTTTCGACGAGCCGTTTTACCGGCTCAATCGAGATCAGTTTGAACGACAACTCGCTTGAGACAGAGGAAGATGTTGCCGCCATCGCCGCTCAGCTAGCCGCCGCCGGCTTCGATGAGATCGAGCACTCCTCTGGCGTCGCCATCCGTCGCCCTTCCGAGGATTGCACCGAACCTTCGTGGCTCATCGAGGCCGAGCGCATCCTCTTCGAGACATCCGCATTCGCGTCAAATCTTGAGGGTTCTGCCTTCGAGCGGGCCGATGACGTCCCGGATATCGCCGCGGATCACGTGTCCCTGCTCGGCTCCACATCGCCGTCACCATCTACCCCGCCCGACAAGAGGCGCGAGACGAGCGACGTCAACTGCACCGCCGAGCTCGTCACCAGTGGCGTCTGTGACATCTCCGGGCCGCCACCTCGCGTCAGCACCGAGTGGTCTGTCCCGAGCCTACACGGAGTCCTCTGGATTTTCACCGTCCTGCTCGTCGTCGCCACCATCCCTTTCGCCGTCGCCGTTTCTGGACCGGTCCCTGCGAGCATGCCGCTGCCCGACGCCATCTCCATCGACGTGCCGCTGCCCGACATCATCTCCATCCACGGCGCCTGCCATTTGGCGCTCACCGGCCCCTCTGCATCAGCACGGCCTCCAGGAAGGCCGCCAGGAAACCAGCCGTCCATCAACAACTTCATCGCCGGCGCCGAGACACGGCGCAACTCAACTTCAAATTCAACTTCAAATTCAAATCTCCCACCCTGCCCCAGCCCAAAACAAAGGTGCCGGCGATGCGGACCATCTCGTGTTGGGGGTGTGTGCTTCGGTCGAGTCTACCGGTCGCCTCCCGACTCCGTTGCCGTCTGCTGCCCCTTGCGTCCTTCATCCTGCCATCGGCTGCGGGCCGACGCCGACGCCTCCTGTCGGACCTCTCCTCCGGGGCGCCGACCGTGGGGGGGGCCGGGGGAAGGGGGCGCAGCCCCCGACCTGGCTGCCGAGGCGCCAGCCGAGGCTGTCACACAAGAGGCCGAGGCGACAGCCGAGGCCACTACCCAAGGTGGAGCCGAGGCGACAGCCGAGGCCGCCGCCCACAAGGCCAACCAACCAGCTGAGGCCTCTGCCCTAACGGAGGCCGAGGCGCCAGTCACAGCCGCCCAAACCAAGGCGCCAGCCGCCGCCGCCACGCGCAAGCTCTGGTGGAACCTTTTCAGAATTTGCTACATCAGCGCCGTCACCGTCAGCTGTACCGTCGAGGACCCGAGTCTCGCCTTCGTCTTCGAGCGTGTTACCTCGCCTCGCACGGCCGGCGCTCTTCAGACCAGCGCGCGAGACGCCTGCGCCGCCCTCGACTCCGAGCGGACGTGCTCTGCCGCCTCCGCCGTAGCCGAGCGATCGGCCAGCGCCTCTGCCGCCAGAGCTGTCGCCGTCGGCTGTACCGTCGAGCAAGGCGTCGCCACCGTCAGGTGCGCTGCCTCGCCTCGCACGGCCGGCGCTCTTCTGGCCAGCGCGCGAGATGCCTGCGCCGCCCTCGACTACGACTGGGCGCGCCCTGCCGCCGCCTCCACCGTAGCCGAGCTCTCCGCCAGCGCCTCCGCCGCCAACGCCTCCGCCGCCAGCGCCGTCGCCGCCGCCGTCACCGTCGAGTACTCGAGTCTCGCTTCCGTCATCGAGAGTGACAACTCACATCGCACAGCCAGTGCCTCACGCTTCAGCTTTCATAGCTTTACCTCCGGCTCCGCGCCGCGCCTCGCCTCCGTCAAGGGCGACCTCGGCCTGCGCCCTCGCGCCCGCGCCTTCTCCGGCTCCGCGCCGCGCCTCGCCTCCGTCAAGGGCGACCTCGGCCTGCGCCCTCGCGCCCGCGCCGTCTCCGGCCTGCGCCCCTGCGCCCGCGCCTTCTCCGGCTCCGCGCCGCGCCTCGCCTCCGTCAAGGGCGACCTCGGCCTGCGCCCTCGCGCCCGCGCCGTCTCCGGCCTGCGCCCCTGCGCCCGCGCCTTCTCCGGCTCCGCGCCGCGCCTCGCCTCCGTCAAGGGCGACTCTCGAATGTCAACTACTCCCTCCTCGTGCCGCCTTCGGCCTTGCCCGCACAGGCGTCGCGATCTACGGTACATCCCCGACGCCTTCAGCATCGGTCCTGGGGGGGGCGTCTGAATTCGGACGCCTGTGCTACCCTTCACACACGCTACACACGGTGTACTAGCACGGCGCATCCTGCGCCGTGCCCCATGAATGTCGATACTCCAGCATCACACCCTCTGTGCCACAATCGTGTCACGTGGACGTCCCTTAGTCGGCGCGTCTTGTCTGTCGCGATGTCCTAGACGTCGTGCCTTTCTGGTCCTTTACCATCCTTCAGCCAGCCACCCTCCGGCTCTGAGCCTCCGCGCTCAAACGCGCACCTCCGCCATGAGGACGGCCTTGTGCGAGCGCTGTCGTTGAGAACGAAGCGGCCGGAGTGTTCTTGTTGCCTTCAAGACATATTTCCTGAGCTGAGGTAGCTCGTTCCCTTGGTGAGGGCGGTCGTGTTCGTCATGGCCGGGTCGTGCATGTACGTCTGGGCGACGTCCGTCGGACCTCGGTCCGCCATCTTTAGCAGGTCTTTGGATCGGCTTCAAATCGTCCTCCTTGACGCCGCTCGCGATGTTGGTACGGGCGAGGTCGAGTGTCTCGGTCATGGTTTTGAAGAGGGAAGTCGTGCGTCCCGCCTCGAGCTGCAGATCCCGGCCGGTCACATTCGTGTACGTGTCCCGCTGATACGCAAGGTACTGTCCAGTTGTGGGCAACCAGTGGCTCTGAATGCGCATGCCGAGGATCGAATCTGACTCAAAGCGCACGGGGTTGGTGCCGCCGACCGTCGGGAGGAAGCCGAGGAGTGCCAGGAGGATCCAGAGGGCGCCGACGGTGCCGATTCCGCCGCAGAGAGTGGCGGTCGAGGCCAGGCCGTGCGCGTGGGCCGGTCGGGCTCGGTCGGTGCTGCGGCGGGCGACCGGGCGCCGCACGGCTGGCCCCGTCGGCCGAACGGCGCCGCCGAGCGGCCGGGCGCTTCGGGTTGGGCCCCCGGGAGGCAGGGGCGGGCGCGGTCAGGAGGGGGCCGCCAAATCGACCAAATCGAAGTGGGTGCCGCGATTTTGGGCTGCTACTTTCAATGATATGGATTCTTTTTTCTACTAAGCAGAATTCGAGCAATTGAGGAAACTCAAGCGGGCACGGGGCAGGCTGGAAGCACTGAGGGACGGCCGATGTTCGCCCAGTGGCAACCCTGATCTTAGAATCGCTCCAATGTACAATGGGAGTGAATCCGAGCGAGTGAAACACTAGTCCAAAAGACTCGCGATTAAAAGAAATCGCACGTGGAAATCCACGCAAAGTGTGCGCTTCGCAAGCAACCCGCAGTTCTACGGCTGCTCTAGTTGCTGCCGCTCGGCGGGGCGCCGCCGCACGAGGCGCGCCACCGCCATGTGGCGGCGGAGGAGCTGCCACTGCCGCCGGAGCGGCCCCGCGTCGCACGGCACCGCTCCCATGCTGCACAGCACGAGGCGCAAGCTCACCGTGCGGTGCTCCGGAGCCGGGTAGAGCGGCACCGCCACCGTGTTGAAGAGCTTGTACGGCTGCTGCAGCAGCACCTGCGGCGTCTGCTGGAAAAAGTTGGCGAAAGGAACGCCGCCGCAGCTTGGCTCCTGCTCGTGGACCATGGTGATGGCGATGCGCCGATCCATCGCCGCTTGCACGAGGCGCGCGACAACGCCGCCGTAGTCCAGAAAGGTCTTATCGTTCAGGTAGAGCAGGAACACTACGTGCCCGGAGAGCGGGGCCGCGTTGGCTCCCTCGAGCGCCTCCTCCGCATCGCGGATCACGACCGCAGTGACCGCCTCGGCGCTGGCGGTAGAGCCGCGCCCCTCCCCCGCCGCCGTCTTGACCAGCTCCGACAAATCGAGGACGCCGACGTTGCCGCGGCACACGAGGATGGTGACGGGGCCGCTGAAGGCAACGGGGCCCGCCTGGCCGGGTACCATCACGCCGTCGGCGAGCTCGGCCGGGCGGCTCGCGTAGAAAGGAGAGTGCAGCAGCATCCGCAGCGCGACAGCCTTGAGCGACTCGAGCTGAAAGGCGTTCACCCGCACCCACACGATCGGCGCCGCCTCCTCAAACACGCGCGCGAGCATCTCGCCTGGCCCGCTGTAGTTAGGGTAGGCAGCAGGGGCGGCCTCGACGCAGTTTTCGCGGCACTCGGCCTTCAGCGCCTCGATCGAGGCGCCGCCCTTTGCCACGTCGGCCTCGAAGATGGGGATGAAGGGCCGATTTGAGGCGAGCGCCGCGTACAGCTCGCGGCGACAGTTGAAGCTCCTGAAATAGCCCGCGCTGAGGAAGACGAGGAAGTTCATTGCGTCGGCTACTGCCTCCTCGAGCCTGCCCACGTCATCGAGATTGTCGACGTCGAGCCAGATCCGGACGCCGGGGAGGAGAAGTTGGAGCTGGCGCACGACGGTGTGCGTCTGGTCTTGGCCGGTCCCCCAGCAGTGCGAGATGAAGCCGTGGAAGTGGCACTCGGGGGACAGCTCGAGGACAGGGGGGCGGCCGGAGGAGGTGAGGCGTACGGTGGGCATGCGGACGGCGCTGACGGTCTTGAAGAGGACGACGAGCAGCGATGCGATGAGCATTGCGACGGTGAGCACGACGACAAACTCGCTCGCGCCGCGCGCGCTCTCGAAGCCGACGAGGGTCTTGCACATGTCCTCGTAGGCAGCGCTCTCGCACAGCTGAATCACCGTGCCGGAGGTGAAGCAGCAGGCGATCAGTAGATTGGCGGTGCACGCGAGGTAGAGGTCGTCGTCACGCTTGAAGGGCCGGGCGAGGGAGAGGGCGGCGAGGTAGAGGGCCGAGACGACAGACGCGACGACGAGGCGGAGGAGCTTGGACGATCCAGTGTCTGTTTGAATGAAGAGCACCAGCGAGGCGAGGAAGAGCTTGCGGCCCAGATCGACGACCTCCCAGAAGAGGAAGGCCGGCTCGTAGTCGCGCCAGAGGAAGCGGCAGGCTCGGGCGAGGGGGCCAATACGCTGCGCTTGCACCGCGGGGCGAATCCAGAGCAGGAGCGCGAGGAAGGCTAGCGGGACGAGCACCGGCCAGAGTGCGAAGAAAGCCCAGAAATACGCGTCGAGGCCGCGAAATTCGTCGTCGTCGGGGCTACACAGCACGTCGAGGTCGGCCACGAGGTAGCTGCGCCTCTCCCCGGTGAAGGCGTTGATGTCAAACGACTCGCACTGCTTCGCCTTGAAGATGGAGCGAGAGACGGAGGGCAACACGAGGTAGGCGACGAGGATGGCCCAGTAGAGCAGGTGGCGCAGCGTCGCGCGGACAAATTCGCGACGGAGGCTGTCGGCGCGACCAGACAGAAGCCACTCCGCGAGTGCGTAGCAGGCGATGGCGGCGCCTCCGAGCATGATAGAAGCGATCGGCCACAGACCGGCAACCAGGAGCCGCTCAGCCATCGAGCCGATGCACGCGTCCGGGTAGGTGAGGCCGAGGAGGTCAAAGCTGATCGCGTCGATGAAGTCGGTCCAGCGCGTAAAGTCCTCGTGCAAGCGGACGCCGTAGACGGGGCCGAGCGTCGCGGCGACCTGGTAGAAGCTGACCAGGATCTTGAACTTGGGCTGGAAGCCAACCTAAGCCAAGACACGGTAGTGTGGTTTGATTGCGGGTGTGTGTGCGTCTGCAAAGGGGCGTGTGAACCTGCGACTCGCCGATGACAAGACGTGCTCTGAGGCGGCCCCACGCCTCGGCGCGGGCAAGGGCGCGGTACAAGAAGAGCCCTGTCCCCGCGACAACGACGACGACCCCCGCCAGGATGCCGAACCGCCCCGTCGTCGGGCAGTCGACGCAGCCTCGCTCCGCGCGGCTGAAGTACTGCTCGTCGCTCACGCACCACTCGCAGAGCGGGCCGGTGTGGCCGACGTCGCAGCCTGGGCCGGCGCCGCCAGACGCCGCGAGACGGCGGCGGGAGGTCTCCGTCGCGCCGCCCGAGCCGCTGCAGTGGTCGGAGGCGTCGCACTTGTGAATCTCGGTGGTGAGGGGCGAGGTGCGCCAGTAGTCGCGCCGGACGCCGAGGGTCTCGAGAGTGGTATTGGTCGCGCAGTTGGCGTCCGGCGGGCACGCTTTACAGTGCTCGGTCGGGAAGCGGAAGACGTCATCCGGAAGGGCGCTCGCGTCCTGCAGGTAGAAGCCCTCCCTGCAGGTAGAGCAGGTGACATCGCCTCTCTTGGAGCTGGTAGGGTAAGGGCAGGGCGTACACTGCGACAGGCCGTCGCTCGCCGCGTAGGTGCCCGCCTCGCACTCCTCGCACTCGGTGGTGGAGGCTGCGAAGCGTCCGATCGGGCACAGCTCGCAAGCAGACATGTTGGCTGAAGGGGCGATGCTGCCTGGAGCGCAAGCGGTTGGCTGCGCGGCGCCGCCGGCGCAGAAGCTGCCAGGCGCGCAACCGACGCAATCGTCGAGGCTCTCCAGCGTGGTGAACGCCTTCCCGTTGTAGAAACCGGCGGGGCAGCTCGCGGGCAGCTGAGCGCTGCTTCCCCTCGGACAGAACGTACCCGGCGCGCACTCGAGGCAGCCCGCGGCTCCGGAGTCCGGCTGGTACGTCCCGAGGCCGCAGACGGTGCACTGGCCCTGAGCGGGCTTGGCTGCGGTTCCTGGAGAGCACTCGGAGGGCGCGGCGCCACCTCCCGCGCACGACGAGCCGGCGGGGCACTCGAGGCACTCAGGGTCGCCGTCGGCGTCCGTCACATTGGCGTACGTGCCCGGCGGGCACTGCGCGTCCAGCTCTCGCGTCGAGCCAGAAGGGCAAAACTTGCCAGCAGCGCAGCGGACGCAGGCGGCCTGGCCGGCCTCGCTCTGGTAGTAGCCCTGGGCACACAGCTCGCAAGCCTCGCTGCGTGCCTCGGCGGCAGCGCTTCCCATGGCACACGGCGTCTGCTGCGTCGAGCCGGTGGTGGCGAAGTGGCCCGGCGAGGCGTCGGTGCACTCGCTCGCGTCGGTGAGGTTGGTGGCGCTCGAGTAGCTGCCAGCCTCGCACGGCAGCGCCGCCGCCGCGCCAACAGCGCAGTAGCTTCCCGCCTCGCACGGCTCGCACGCCGTCTTGCCTTCCTCGTCCTGGTACGTGCCGGCGGCGCAGGGCGTGCACGCGCCCTGCCCGTACGCGTCCGTGTACGACCCCTTGGCGCACGCCGTCTGCTGCGTGGAGCCGGTGGTGGCGAAGTGGCCCGGCGAGGCGTCGGTGCACTCGCTCGCGGCGGTCGCGCCCTGGTAGGATCCCTCGGCGCACAGCTCGCAGGCCTCGTTGCGCGTGCCGCTGGCGAAGCTGCCCTTGTCGCACACCGTCTGCTCCGTGGCGCCCCGGGCGGCGATGTGCCCCGGGTCGGCGGGCGTACACTGCGAGGCGGCCGACAAGTTCGTCTTGTCCGAGTAGGAACCGCCCTCGCACGGCAACGGCCGCAACGCGCCCGGCTCGCAGTAGCTGCCCATGTCGCACGAAAAGCAGCTGGTCGCGTTCGACTCGCCCTGGTACGTCCCGCCCGCACAGCTGGCGCACTTGGAGAGGCCGGCCGTGGCGGCGAAAGAGCCCGGCGAGCACTCGGAGGGCGGCGCCGCCCCGCCGCCGCACGACGAGCCGGCGGGGCAGTCGAGGCACTCGGGGTCGCCGCTCCGGTCGGTCAGCCTCGCGTACGTGCCCGCCTCGCACTGCGCGTCCAGCTCGCGCGACGACCCCACCGGGCAAAACTTGCCAGCAGCGCAGCGGACGCAGGCGGCGGCGGCGGGCTGGTCCTGGTAGTACCCCTTGGTGCACAGCTCGCACGCGTCGTTGCGGGTGCCGTTGGCGAAGCTGCCCTCGCGGCACGCCGTCTGCTGCGTGGAGCCGGTGGTGGCGAAGTGGCCCGGCAAGGCGGCGGTGCACTCGCTCGCGGCGGTGAGGTTGGTGGCGCTCGAGTAGCTGCCCGCAACGCACGGCAGCGGCGCCGACGCGCCCTCGGCGCAGTAGCTGCCCTCCACGCACGGAAGGCAGCTCGTCGCGTTCGACTCGCCCTGGTACGTCCCGCCCGCACAGCTGGCGCACTTGGAGAGGCCGGCCGTGGCGGCGAAAGAGCCCGGCGAGCACTCGGAGGGCGGCGCCGCCCCGCCGCCGCACGACGAGCCGGCGGGGCAGTCGAGGCACTCGGGGTCGCCGCTCCGGTCGGTCAGCCTCGCGTACGTGCCCGCCTCGCACTGCGCGTCCAGCTCGCGCGACGACCCCACCGGGCAAAACTTGCCAGCAGCGCAGCGGACGCAGGCGGCGGCGGCGGGCTGGTCTTGGTAGTACCCCTCGGGGCACAGCTCGCACGCGTCGTTGCGGGTGCCGTTGGCGAAGCTGCCCTCGCGGCACGCCGTCTGCTCGGTGGAGCCGGTGGTGGCGAAGTGGCCCGGCGTGGCGTCGGTGCACTCGCTCGCGTCGGTGAGGTTGGTGGCGCTCGAGTAGCTGCCAGCCTCGCACGGCAGCGCCGCCGCCGCGCCAACAGCGCAGTAGCTTCCCGCCTCGCACGGCTCGCACGCCGTCTTGCCTTCCTCGTCCTGGTACGTGCCGCCGGCGCAGGGCGTGCACGCGCCCTGCCCGTACGCGTCCGTGTACGACCCCTTGGCGCACGACGTCTGCTGCGTGGAGCCGGTGGTGGCGAAGTGGCCCGGCGAGGCGTCGGTGCACTCGCCCGCGGCGGTGAGGTTGGTGGCGGTCGAGTAGCTGCCCGCAACGCACGGCAGCGGCGCCGACGCGCCCTCGGCGCAGTAGCTGCCCTCCACGCACGGAAGGCAGCTCGTCGCGTTCGACTCGCCCTGGTACGTCCCGCCCGCACAGCTGGCGCACTTGGAGAGGCCGGCCGTGGCGGCGAAAGAGCCCGGCGAGCACTCGGAGGGCGGCGCCGCCCCGCCGCCGCACGACGAGCCGGCGGGGCAGTCGAGGCACTCGGGGTCGCCGCTCCGGTCGGTCAGCCTGGCGTACGTGCCCGCCTCGCACTGCGCGTCCAGCTCGCGCGACGACCCCACCGGGCAAAACTTGCCAGCAGCGCAGCGGACGCAGGCGGCGGCGGCGGGCTGGTCCTGGTAGTACCCCTCGGGGCACAGCTCGCACGCGTCGTTGCGGGTGCCGTTGGCGAAGCTGCCCTCGCGGCACGCCGTCTGGTCGGTGGAGCCGGTGGTGGCGAAGTGGCCCGGCGAAGCGTCGGTGCACTCGCTCGCGTCGGTGAGGTTGGTGGCGCTCGAGTAGCTGCCAGCCTCGCACGGCAGCGCCGCCGCCGCGCCAACAGCGCAGTAGCTTCCCGCCTCGCACGGCTCGCACGCCGTCTTGCCTTCCTCGTCCTGGTACGTGCCGCCGGCGCAGGGCGTGCACGCGCCCTGCCCGCACGCGTCCGTGTACGACCCCTTGGCGCACGCCGTCTGCTGCGTGGAGCCGGTGGTGGCGAAGTGGCCCGGCGAGGCGTCGGTGCACTCGCTCGCGGCGGTGAGGTTGGTGGCGGTCGAGTAGCTGCCAGCCTCGCACGGCAGCGCCGCCGCCGCGCCAACAGCGCAGTAGCTTCCCGCCTCGCACGGCTCGCACGCCGTCTTGCCTTCCTCGTCCTGGTACGTGCCGCCGGCGCAGGGCGTGCACGCGCCCTGCCCGTACGCGTCCGTGTACGACCCCTTGGCGCACGCCGTCTGCTGCGTGGAGCCGGTGGTGGCGAAGTGGCCCGGCGAGGCGTCGGTGCACTCGCCCGCGGCGGTGAGGTTGGTGGCGGTCGAGTAGCTGCCCGCAACGCACGGCAGCGGCGCCGACGCGCCCTCGGCGCAGTAGCTGCCCTCCACGCACGGAAGGCAGCTCGTCGCGTTCGACTCGCGCTGGTACGTCCCGCCCGCACAGCTGGCGCACTCGGAGAGGCCGGCCGTGGCGGCGAAAGAGCCCGGCGAGCACTCGGAGGGCGGCGCCGCCCCGCCGCCGCACGACGAGCCGGCGGGGCAGTCGAGGCACTCGGGGTCGCCGCTCCGGTCGGTCAGCCTCGCGTACGTGCCCGCCTCGCACTGCGCGTCCAGCTCGCGCGACGACCCCACCGGGCAAAACTTGCCAGCAGCGCAGCGGACGCAGGCGGCGGCGGCGGGCTGGTCTTGGTAGTACCCCTCGGGGCACAGCTCGCACGCGTCGTTGCGGGTGCCGTTGGCGAAGCTGCCCTCGCGGCACGCCGTCTGCTCGGTAGAGCCGGTGGTGGCGAAGTGGCCCGGCGTGGCGTCGGTGCACTCGCTCGCGTCGGTGAGGTTGGTGGCGCTCGAGTAGCTGCCAGCCTCGCACGGCAGCGCCGCCGCCGCGCCAACAGCGCAGTAGCTTCCCGCCTCGCACGGCTCGCACGCCGTCTTGCCTTCCTCGTCCTGGTACGTGCCGCCGGCGCAGGGCGTGCACGCGCCCTGCCCGTACGCGTCCGTGTACGACCCCTTGGCGCACGCCGTCTGCTGCGTGGAGCCGGTGGTGGCGAAGTGGCCCGGCGAGGCGTCGGTGCACTCGCCCGCGGCGGTGAGGTTGGTGGCGGTCGAGTAGCTGCCCGCAACGCACGGCAGCGGCGCCGACGCGCCCTCGGCGCAGTAGCTGCCCTCCACGCACGGAAGGCAGCTCGTCGCGTTC